GCACTCTTTGGACAAGCTTGACAGTTCCTCAAAATACCAAAACAGAGTTACCATACAGCTGAGCAACTCCTAGCTATATCCAAGAAACAGGAAAGCCTATTTCTATATAAAAGCTCAAACATAAATACAGCAGCATTATTCTTAACAGCCAAAGAGTGGAAATAGCCCAAATGTCCATATACCAATGGGTTATAGCCATACAATGAAGCTATAAAAAGGACTGAATTACTAAAATTCCCATTTAGTGGATGAATGGTGACAATATTGTGCTAGGTGAAGCCAGAGACAAAGGCCACATATTATTAATCCAATTTACCAAAAGTGCCAGAAAAAGCCACTCACAGTACCAGAATTTGGGGATGGAGGAGGGATGGTTACTGAGGGCTGATAGGTAGATTTTATTTGAGGATAATAGAATTAGATAATGGTGAGGACTCACTGAAAACCATTGGAATATATGTTTTAAATGAATGCATTGTGATGGTATATAGTTATATCTATTTTAAAAAAGAGAGATTCAATGGGCACAGGCGTAAGGCCTCTTGCCTGTTGTCCTTCACTATGACCTTCTCTTCCTTCCTGGAACGCAGACAGGAGGTCAGGATGCATCGCAGCCATGTTATGATCGAGAGAACAAAAGCCATTTGCCAAGGAGGATGAGCAGTTTCCAGGCCCCAAAGCTTCTTCCTGTTTAAGATGTTATGGATTGTCTGAGTCTGGCAGCTTCCTGTTTAAGATGTTGCAGGTTCTCTGAGTCTGGCAGCCGGATGCAATCCTGACTAATATACCTCCCAACTTTGAAGTTTTTTGAAAAGCCAATTACTGTTAAAATGGAAAAGAATGGAGTTCTGAATTGTACTATCTGGAGAAGGGTAAAACATTAGATCAGAAAGTGCCATTTTCACAGGATTCTCCATTTATAGGGCTGTTTAGTGATTGTGTTGGAGCAAAAAGTGGCTCACGTCTTAAGCTTATTCTGCTGCATTATGACACAGTAATGAAATGTGAAATATATTCCGGCCATCTTTAAGAAAAACACAATAAATATGAATAAGCTCCGCAATTACTATTTCATTAAACCACTCTCTGCAGTCAAAAGTGCAAAGTCTACTTTTGGATTTTTTCCAAAAATGCCTGAAAGAAAAACTCATCATGGTAGATCCTCATTAGATCTCTAAGTAAGACTGAAGACATTTAAAAACTGCAATTTGTTAAGTAATAAATAGCCATAATCTGAGTATAAGGGAAGCCATTCTGGATGAAGAAAGCATGAAGTATGTTGACATTCATAGTCTTCTCTGAGATATTAGCAGGTCTCATTGCCGCTTTAAAGCAAACTTTCTGAAATTTGTACCTATATTTTTTCCATCCAGTTTCACGTGTTTTTTCTTAACAGACAGACATCTTTACACTGTCACCCCCTCCCTGCTGAAAAGGAGAAATAGCTTGGTGGATAAAGGTGCTTGCCACCCAAGCCTGGAGACCAAAGTTCAATTCCCAGAATCTACCTGAAGGTAGGAAGAGAGAGCCGACTCCACAAAGATGTCCTCTGATCTCCACACATTGCCACGGCATGTGCCCCCAACACATTATAGCCCCCCCCACTAAATTTTAAAAATGAATATCCTTCAGTTACTGATCCCCCCGCCCTGGACTGGCCCAACATTATAAAACTCCAGGATTACGAATTTTGATGTTGTTAAATGAATGTATAGTGGTTAGATTTACTTGTCAGCTCTAGAAAATTGAAATACAGTTTGATTTTTACGCATGATCATTCTTGGACAGACTTCATTCATGTGGAAGGAAGGGTGGTCACAATGTCTTCCACTCATTAGGCATTTTAAATTACCAAAGATTTTGTTCAAAGACTGAAAAATCAAATTAACCACATAATTGTCTGAGCAAATAACAGACAATTATGTGATGGATTTTTTTTTTAAATGGAGGTGCATTCAATAATAACACCAATTCAAGTACGTACAGACTCAGGCACTTGTCCCTTACTAACAATTTTGGGATGAGAAGAAGACGGACACACTTGACTTCTGTTAGTGCCTGTTTCTATGGCTGTGTAGAAGACTCACTATTAAAAAACTGGACGGTTTCTCACGGGCCACATCTTAAGCAATATGCTTCCTGGCTCATTTGATTTCAGATCCCATCGGTGTATCATTCCCAGTCATATAAAGAATATGTGTGTGTGTGTGTGTGTGTGTGTGTGTGTGTGTGTGTGTGTGTGTACAAAGTGTAAAGAATCAGAGAAATTTAAAGAGTCATCGTTTGACATGACCGGTATTCTTCTTTCATCTTTCTGACTGTGGAAACAGTTCTCTGGCTTTCTTCTGTAACTTTTTTTGGATAGTATTCAGTAGAGAGGCCACGTTTGAGATAAACCTCTAAAACTATGGCCATTAATTTTACAAGGAACAAAACTCTAATTCCAAAGACTTACAATTTCTATACTTACTGCTATTTTCCCCCTATGGAACTACTGTGAGTGATCATTAGATTAAATTCTAACATTTTGGCAACCAACCCTAGGCAGTTACATGACAAGGAGCCCAACAGGTCAGCTGAGGATATTAGCAAGTCAGGGCTGGGGGTTTCCATCAAGCTCTGGCTGGCTCTCTCAAGCTGATACTGGAAGAGAGAACTGCTGTCACAGAAGGGATAGTGGAAGCAAGGTAGCTCGCCATTTGTGGCAACATACGAGAGCATACCTCCTGAGTATAGGGAGGGGACATATGGAATGCCTCTAAAGCTTGAAATATTATACTTCTTAGGGAGGGAAAAGAGAAAATAAATATGTCTAGCTCTAGCGGCATCTTTGCTGATGAAAATAATCACAATAATTAGTCACTGCATCAAAAACGCATTGTGGAGAGCCGCTCAGCCGGAACAATTACTTTCTCCACCCCACTGGCCTTTCAAATCTCACAGTCACATTCCACAGTCATCCCACACACAGAAATCTCTGCTACTTCAAGAGATCAGTTGTGACGCATGTTTCTATGCTAAGTTTATAAATATACACAGATGTGGTCACAGGAGAGTCTCGAGGTTCACATCTAAATGCTACGGCTACCTAAAATAGTTGTGTTTCTATTACATACTCCTTAATGAGCGTGCTGTGTCTCCATGTCCTTATTCTCTCGTGGTGTGTTTGTAACCCCTAGGAGCTGTGAAGACGCTGTGAAGAAGGCTCCTCCAGGCACTGGATAAATGTGCCTCTTCCTGAAACCTAGAAAGCCAGGGACTTCCGGGCTTGTGGTAGGCATCAGACCTGATACCCAAGGACAGAATGCTGTCCACTTCCTCTTTGCAGCCTCCAGGTCTTACACAGCCTAGATCCTGAGTCAAACCTGAGAGATGCTAATGACCAATTTCTCCACACTCCTTAGACTGAAAGGTCGGTAAAGTGATATTAACGACACCAAGGATGATAATGGTTACTTTAATGGCAAGTCGAACTTTAATATTTTAAAGAAATTACTTTCACATTGAGATTATTAAGATGTAGGGCTACATTAAGGAATTGAACTGCTATGAACATCTGAAAGGAATCAACGGCTCAGAAGAAAAAAAAAAATCACTCTTGGCAAATGCCATTTGCTTCCAGATTCTTTTCTCATTGGTTATTGGGCATTATCACGAGCATCAGTTCTCACGAGAAGGCTTCACATAGATGGACTCTTGCTTGATATATAGCCTAGGATGACTTTGCACTTCTGACCCCCCTATATGGAATTATAGTCCTGGGATTACAAGCGTGCACCATCATGGCAAGTTTACAAGTTGCTGGGAACTGAACCCAGGACTTCATGAATGCGAAACAAGCTCTCTGGTAACCTGAGCTCCACACATGGGGGACACTAAGGCAGATTGTCTTATTGGGTAAGAGGTTTATTAGAAGAATTACTAATGCCATGGACAGACAGGCAGATGGCATGTTGGGGCCTTTGGAGAGATTCAGGCTCTCTCAGGCAGAGTTGGGGGATCTCTTCTTATAGGTCTCAGGGGAAAAGGGAGATTTTATGCCACATATTTGAGGAAGAGGGGTACATGCAGTTGAGGTGTACCCTTTATAGCCATAAGTAGCTCTCTGATGTCCTGGAGTCTGGCAGCCTGAGCCTGTAAACTTCCTTGGGGAAAAGACAATGGTGGAATCCAGGCCCCTGGGGAGTCTCTTAGGGGTTTAGAGC